CGGCCCTGCGCATTTGGAGTTTGTCACCATTGCTTACGAACACAGAAATGCAAAGCAGTAAATTCCCCAAATCTGGCAACACTAAACACTTGGAAGGTAGGTATGCATATACACATGTGTTGCTTATAATTTTAATATATCTCTTTGCACCTTAATAAAAGTTGATGCGAATAATGCTGAAAAACTGAATTGGAAAATAAATTTTTCTTGGTTGAGATTTTTGTAACGAAAAATTTCTTCAGCACCGGCGAATGTTAGCCAAAATACCTATGTATGTATGTATGTATGTACATATGTGTGTAGATGATATCAGAGTGCACATTTTAAAAATATAATATATAATGTTTGTATGAATGTATGTGCGCATATTTCGATATAACATTTGATTAGGTAATCAGAATCGAATTCAATAGAGTTTGTGCTACAAGGTAAGGTGGTGAGAATATTTTGCCTAACGGCAGTGGTGAAAAGTAGTTACGATTTACCAGAGATCGAAAATAACCCTCTCTACTTATTACAAACACAATCCCCCAAGCAAAATGTGTTTCTCACCGTACCAAATCTCTCTGTGCGATTCTTTTTGTGTTTTAAGCTGTGGGTTATCCATAAACTGCTTAAATTTGCCTTAGGCAAAGACACTTTGGCAAGGACTTTTATATTTAAGTGTCTTAATTTGTGGGTTATTGAAGGACAGAAAAATATAAATGGAAGTAAAGCGTTAGGCATTTTTTTTGCACGACATATACATACACACAAATGTGCGAACATTTATGACAGAGAAGAAACGGTGCACATTCATAATATGATACACTTAAAAAAGCTACTTTTTTATTTTGTTTTATTATATTAAGCATTTTTTCGTACATACATATATACAAATATAGCAGAATTAAATAGGTGCTATTATAATTTAGCATATGTATTTTGAGTTAGTTTCAGCCAAAAAATTAATTAAAACACTTTGGGATTGTCGGGATTCTCGGGACTTATTCGGGATTTGGAGATTTCTTCGAGACTTTCGGAATCTTCACGACTACTTAGAGATTTTTGGACTATTTTTGGATTCACGGGATTATATCAGGATTTTTCGGACTATTTCGAGACTATTCGGGATTTTCGGAATCTTCGGGAATACTTGGAGATATTTGGAATATTTCGCGTTTTTCGAGACCACTTTGGGATTTTCGGGTTTCTCGGGACTAAATCGGCATCTTTGGGGCCATACTTCCGAAGATCCCGATATAGTCCTGAGGACCCAAAGTAGTCTCGAAGATTCCGAAAATCGCGAAGAAGTTACGAAAATTTTGAAATAGTCCACCTTCATAGTGGAGAGGGTTATTTTCGACCTCTGCGATTTACACATACACACACACACGCATACATATGTATGTATATGATATATATGTGTGTATGTCACTTGGAAGTAATTTTCTTCCCGCTCCTCTTCTACAAATCCTGATTTCCTCGTTTTAAGTGAATTAAATACTCCCCTTTTATTTAGTTACAAAACAATAAATATAAAAATATCTTCCTTGAGCATCATTCGTCATAAGTCAATTTCATTTAATGTGTCATGAAACACAGGAATTTACTTGTAGCCTCGGTCGAAATCGCACGTTTTATTTATCGTAGAATGAAATGTTTTGAAAAAATTAAGTCACATTGACTTGCAGACTAAAATACCTTCAATATTTTTCCTATATAAATTCTTATACATACAGTACACATTTGCCTGAGTGTATAAATAAAATAACTTTGTGTTTGTTTGCCCATTTTCAATTATTAATCATCGCAATATATTTGGATTATGACGGCCGTGCGTTCTCGTTCGTGTCTGAGCATTCTTCATCCACCGCCAGCAACGTTCATGTTATTGCAAATAATTAATTAATAATTTTAATTTGTGCGCAAAATATGTATGTAAGTATATTGGCAAGCAAATGAGGTGTACTGATAATTTATCAGCAATTAAAAATTGTCAATTGGTATTAAAAAACTTAAATTTTTCCCAAATAACAACATATATTAAATACTAGCAGACCCGGCGAACTTCGTCCCGCCCAAAATTTTTATATATTTTATTGAACCTTTTTGGTCCAACATTTTCACCAACAATTCACGTTTACGATTTTCATTGGCACATTTGTCTGCTAAGATTAAGGTTTGGTGGTCATTTTCCGCTTTAAATAACCTAAGGAAAGTGTTATATCCGTACTTGAAATTCTCCAGTTGTGCGGCATTTCATAGCACGGTTATTCGCAAAGCGATATAAATTTTTTCCTCTTCACTCCCTGGCGGCAACAATGACCCGGTTCTATAGTGAATGTCCTAGAAGCTTTACAGTATAGTAGGTGGCAATTTCAAAATGGGTGCGAATCATTGTTCTACAGAAATGCAATATACATATACTTATTTCAGACGAAATACCTTAAAAGTATGAACGCATAATAATATTGGAAACTCACACCTATTGGGCCAATTGCAAGGCAGGAGCGTTCGATATACTCAATGGTGCAACAGGTCGATTTAATCTGACCTTCACGGCCCCTTTTCTCACTTGGCTATTTTTAGTAATAGCTCGACTTCAGCACCACTTGGAAGCACGTTTTTGCAATAGTATTGCATACATATTTAAAACATTAGCCAAATCGGATCATAAATAAGATTTTTAGTAATAACTCAACTACAGCGCCAACTGTCGGATTAAATTGTGAAACTAAACCATCCAGAGACCCACTCAAATACACAAAAAGTTTCGTTAAAATCCGTACAACTATTTAGGAGGATTTCACTCACAAACACACCTACAGAAGAATAAAAAAATTCATTTAAAGATAGCTAAAGGTCGGTACGTTTGTAGGCCTCACACCCCTTTTCAAATAGCCCAAATTTTCTCTATGAGTATAGGCTTGATTTCAACTATATACATATCTCCATACGAAGTTCCAGTACTGTACCATGAATACTTTCAGAGATATGCATTATAAAAATTCGATTTATATGCGATTGATTTCGTATATCTCCATACCAATTTCCAAAACTCTACCATGCACACTTTCAGAGATATGTAGCATGAGAAATTCGGTTTGTATGGGAAGTGCCACGCCCCCTTTACATATAGATTTTTTTCAGCCTAAAACCATCCTTGGGAACGTGCGGCAGGTGGCAGTTTCAAAAAAATCGGTTCAGCCGCTCTCGAGCCTTGCGAAAACTAACAAACGGCTTTCTAAATAAATATTAGTTGAGATATATTACATATTATAATTATATTTTGACAGTATCCGTTGTTTCAGATTGGCGCAAAAAAATATTGCCTAGTGACGAATTCGCCCCTTGATATGGTCGTTACTTAAAGCTATTTATATTCGAAATTGCATGAAAATTGGAAAACAGGAATCTATAAGCTTATCCAGGCAAAAAGCTACCGACGTACTGAATTTTAAGCAAACCGGACCATAAATACGATTTCTTCGAACAGATCGGTCCCTGGTCCACTTCTCGGACAAAATGGATCATATATGCTAATATATACTAAAAAGCTACTTACGTACTAAATTTTAAGCACATCGGACTATAATACGATTTTTTCGAATAGACCGGTCCCTGGTCCACCTACCCGAAGAAAAGTAAAATTTTTTTAGCCTAAAACATGGTGGTTACCGAAAGCTATTTGTATACAAAATTTCATGAAAATCGGACCGGCCGTTCGCGAGATTACCTGTTACAAAAAAAAGGGACTTCTCTTTATATAATTAGTAAAGATATGTACATATGTATAGTAAACATACATATTTATTTATTTATTACAGCTTTATTGTCACAAAAGCACGTTTCAAATCTAGGAAAACAGCTACAATATGTTTGTTTCTACTCAGGTCTTCTTTCCAAATAGCAATAATCAAATTTAAACCACTTTCACAGGAATGTCTTTTACGGAAACCAGATTGCTGTGGGATAATAATTTTGTTGTGTTCTAAACGTCATTCCAGTCCCCTCTTTGTAAAGCCATGTTGTACAGACTCAAATCAATTTTGTTGAGGTTAGATAACTGAAAATCGTACCACTTATTCATCAGTTTCTCGCTGATTTCTTTCGAATACAATAGAGTGTTCATTGCATTTGCTATGATGTTACCTAAGAACGTAACCTCATTGTCAATACTCTGGTTATCGAAATATCACAAAAGTTTAATTGTCTTAGTATGTTAACAAGACTATCACTAGCATAGTATTCCCAAGAAGTTATAGTTTTTGTAGTTCTCATCTGAAATATCTTTTCCAACTTGATTTTAAAATATATAGTTTCATGATCAGTAATTCGATGTTCTTTCAATTTTTCACAAGAAATGGATTTGCTGTTCGTAAATAAGAGATCAATCATTGTTTCATTGTGATCACCTTTTCTTGTATAAAAATCCATGTTTCGATGCATTGCAAAAGATTGAAATAAGTCCACTAACTGTTTATATTAAAATCAACAATAAAGACTCTATTATCATGTGTTTAACAAATGAAATCTGCATCACTCGAGCTAGGTAAATAGCGCAGCAGTCCAATTTGACATTGGGGAAATATATTTTTAATTTTTAATAATAAACACCAGACATTTTTATTAAAAGTGTATGTTAGTGTATTGTATATTCCATCGATTGGTGTATATATACTAAAACCGTATACCTACTATGAGAGGTTTTATTTTTTGATTGAGCACGTTTTTTATATGCTGGACAGTCCATACTGAAAGCATAATTATGTTGGCTAACTCTGGATTTAGTAAGCAGTCTCTAGTCACTAATAGTGACTTTTGGTGGTGAATATGGATTTTGAGACTATTTGGTATTCTAGAGTAAAAAATAAATAATATAAAAAAAA